TATTATTATGTCATATCACTAGCGAGTGAATTTCAACATCAGTGCAAACAAAAAGATATTTCGCCGAGATCATTCTCTGGGATCATAGAAGCTTTTTCATTCCGGATGAAATCCTGAGTGCAGAATCGCTCGACAAAATATACATACAGATCAGTATAAGTAGAGTGCGATCGAAGTTGGATGTGTATAAAGTTTTGTCCAGTCAAGAAGCTAGAACGAATCCATTTTGGAGGCTTGTAACATGGAAAATATAATGAACAGAAAGTTGTTCGTGCATAATTGCATTTAGTACCTCATTCCAGCTCAATTGATGCCAAATTTGTGATACTTTAAAAAATGAATCCATTGGCCGAAAATCGTGAAATCGCGATTTTTGCGGTTTTTAGGGTCTCGACACGCATGTTTCCGTTGGTTTATTGGAATATTTCTTATGAATTTCTTGTTCAGACAGCCAAAGCCACATCAAAACCGTTTTGAGCATCTTGAAAGGTTTATCCTAAGCTGAGCTGTGATACGTCGAAAATGCGGATTTTGAGATAGTAAGGGTTCAAGAGTTTTGTGATATTTTTAGTGGGATGTTTTTTAGTGGAAAGTCTATCAAAGCTATCTCAACTAATGCAATGGTGCTCATTGATACGCATTTGATCACTATAGATCAATAGATGTTATACGTTACTATAGAAATTTAGGTTTGATACATTCAAGCCTACCGTCTTCTCAGATTTCCCCAGCAACATATTGATGTTTATATATCAGTCGATTGAGCAGAATCTCTGCTCTCCGAAAATTAAAATTTTGTTGAGAAATTCTGCCTCTACGAAGAGATTTAGCTATTTTCCTGATGCTATAGGGNCTACCACATACAAGCCTACCGTACCCTCAGCTTTGACCAGTAACATATCAATTTCTTCACATCAATCAATCAAGCTGAATCTCTGAATTCTGCTATAGTAGTGTATAGACTGATTAACAGTGATACAATGCATTTTAACGATCGACGCCTAGCTACTTGAGATAGCTTAAGAAAATCAGCTATGCCTCCTCATGTAAAAAAACCGCCCGACAACATATATAAATTTCTGGAAGTAGAGAATCTGGGGAACCTTATGATGTGAAGAAATTGCCATGTTGTTGGAAGGGCGTTAGTTTGAAGATGGTGATTCCTTGATGCTGCTAAAGTAATGGGTTGATTCATCAGTAGATATACAGTGTATTGGAATGAGCGCCGCCGAGCTATTTGAGATACCTTCAGAATGTGAACTGTTTGTCTGAACGTAAGCAAAATCGCTCATTCTATATATTCCGTATGTCAGAACTTTTTTGAACTTAGTCTGCAGAATACGAAGTTAAAATTCCATTGTTATGCTGTTGTACCGCTTGAACTAATTATTTCACTTTCCAGTTTAGTACCTCATTATTTTGTCCTGAATATATTTCATTGGTCAAACTATATGTCCCGCAGTCTTTTTCCGAGTTATGTTTGTTGACCAGTCAAAATAGATCAGACGAACTGAAGCAGCTTTGTCAAGAGTGTGTTTGAATGTGCCCTATTCATTGATTGCTATTTCGGTGGCGATTGATGGTTCACAGTTCGATTTTATGTTTATGTTTGTATATATGCGATATGAACTGTTTTTGAAACTTTGTTTCTTGAATGGTTTCATTTGAACCCGAGGAATTTCAGTAGATGTCCCGGTATGCAGTGGGAAGTATGTGTTAATAAGAGTTAGCACCCATTAACGGAGTATAATTTCCTGAAGTATCATTTCATTAAACGTTTTATATTTTTATCATTTCATAGAGCAAATTTGTTTTAGCTATCGCTTGTAATTTTTAACTTTCATTCTTGCAGCAATGATTCCATGTCAGTCTCAAGGTTCCCAATGAAGTCTGTTCCTGGTTTCTGTGGTTTGACTTTTCTTTTTAGACATCGAACTTGTCACATCCTTCTGCTTGACCATCATCACACTCGACGACGAAGAGTATTTGATTTTGTTGATGTCAAGTTAAGCTCGTTTAGAGTTTCTAAGAAGAATGTTTCAGTTAATATACCGCGATCTACCAAAATGGCACAGATAACGATAGAAAATGAAAACACTTCGCAGAACCGAACAGAAGTGATGTCGATTAACAGCAGCGTTGAGCTTAAGGTAGCAGTTAATTTGCTGAATTCATGATGAGAATGATTATTGCGTAGGGCATAATAGCGATTTGGAAAATGCGGATGAATAATGGTTGAAGAAATTTGTGTTGATCGTATGCGCAGAAGGCGATTTTCAACGTTTCGTTGTAACATCTCAATTCGAGTGCATTGGTGTTAAAAATACCAAAATAACAAGAATTACATAGGAAAAGAAAGATGAGTATCCATGATCATTATTTCGATATTCAAATGATGAGATACACTTTCAAGCACTCAACCCATTGGTATCCTCTCATTATGACGAAAAATTGTGCCAGCGGCAAGTCGTATATGCAAGCTATGAGTTATACGCTAGCAATATCATAAAAGTATGCACTGAACGAACGATCGAGGTGATTGTTTGAGGATGCGCTGGTGGATGATACATGGTTTTGGCAAGGCGAAACGCATTCAACAAAACCGACTGGAGAGAAGTGGCTGAAGAAGTGGAAAGCTCAAGGAAGTGAACACACTGGTGGAGATGGGTATGCTAAGCCGCCTTTCTATGTACGATGGTTCCAGTCATGGCAGGAACGAAAGCTTCTCAAAAGATTGGTGAGGTTTTTGTTTGATGGGATTCAAATTTTGTTTGTTTGCGACCCTCAAAATGATAACAGTCTTCGAACGATAACAAGAGTTCTTATCGCCGAATCGAAAAGTATTCGTTGAAGAATGAACGCACAGCAAAGTTT